AGTGGGTGATGAGAAATACCATCAACAAGGCAGAGTGAAGCCATGTGTCATCTTCATAGACTTCTGTGTAATTTTTATCCTAACCTAACCTAACATAACTTTAACCAAACCTAGCATAACGTAACTTAAGATAGCATAGTCTAACTTAAGATGACCTGACCTAACACAACTTAACCCAGCTCAGTAATGCAGTGTTTCTCATCATCCATCTCATGTTTTTCATCACCCAGGTCAGTAAAGTTTCTCATCACCCAGTTCTCTAATGCAATGTTTGTGTTCATGTTTTACTAGAGCTGTAAAAATACCCAAAATAACAATGCTGCACTATACAGTTCAATATTATGCTTTATGTCAGGTAATGGAAGCTGTGTGTGTAATGCTGGACCTCAAGCCAGAGAGGAAGCCAGACCCTAATGGCTCAGGAAAAATGATTGAGGACTATTGGGCACCATCTCAGAAGCTGTTGGGGGATATGAAGTTCCTCCAGAACCTGCTGCACTATGACAAAGAAAACATTCCCACAAAGATTATCACTCACGTCCGCAACGAGTAAGTTCAAACATTATTTCCGTGATATGGTATTCATTAGGTAATTCATCTTTGCCATTAAGTATGACCAAGACAGAGGCTATCAGAGTGGTGTCGAGACAGACAGACCGATATGAATAAACTCATACTATTGAACAAATAAAATGCTGTAAAAAATTATCAACATTACTACTGTCTCAGTACTGTACTAACATGTAGCTACCTGATGCTTGCACTCAAGAGTGTGCATGGTTATTCAGGACGGATTACATCTTGGAATATTTTCTTGCTATACCAGTATATTTTCCTTTACCCAATGAAAATGTAAAATAACAGTTGAAAATCTTGGTTGCTGGAACAGTGCTGTTGAATATGGACGCCTTGAGAATGACACACACAGTAATAACTGTGTAAGTCACACTACCTACTGTCACATTTAGAAATGAGTGTTCTTCCACTTTAACCCTGAAACCTATTATAAACTCACAAAAAGTAAAGGAAATAAATGTTGAGACATTTTAAAATGTACTTATCCATTAATTTACTTATTCATGCATATGTATCTTATGCTCAGGTAAATACATACTATTGTTTCACAAGAAATCACAAAAAATAAAATCCCTCTTTTATCTTTAAAGAAGACTTGAGTGACACATAAAACTGTGTGAGTACTGAAGTGGATGACTTAGGGACTTTCTACTTCCTGCCAGGTTCTACTCTCACCCGGATTTTGACCCAAAGAAGATACGTATGGTATCAATGGCTTGTGAGGGCCTCTGCCGATGGGTGAGGGCCATGGTTGTCTATGATCAAGTCATAAAGATTGTCGCCCCCAAGAAACAAGCTTTGGAGGCTGCCAACCATGAACTGGCCCCCCAGAATGAAAAGCTAGAGGAAAAGAGGAAGGAACTCAGAGAGGTAATGTGTGAACCGAGAAAGATGTGTGAAATAAAAGACATTGCATGTAGAACCATTTCAACATATAGAATTACTGTATGGTAGACTTAGTCATCATTATATTATGAAGACTACTGTTCCTTCTACAGTATATGTTCATCTACCTGTAATATGTGCATGAGTCTGCTCAGGTGTTGTGAAACAAAAGTTTTTTAGTTAACCCTTTACTTGTCATATTCCTAGATCCATGTACGTGAGTGACCATCTCTGAGCAGTCCATTACGTAGATCAATGAATTTGACTTTTTAAATTTCCCACAGCATCTGAAATGGTCCAGAAGGATTAATATATTTAAAATATGGCACATGGTAACCTCTCAAGACACATTAGCCTGTATCAGCAACCTCTGTCCCTCCAAAATGCTTTGTTTACTAACCCTACCACCACTACACCCATACACATCCATCCAGTCCCTCCCCAACATTTCCCAAGTTTGCTGCCCACATCACAGGCTAACAAATATGCCCAGAGACTTTCTCACGTATGCAAGAACACAGTGTTACTTGAAAAAGTGCACACAGATGCTAGGTATTGCAGCAGTGAGTGTGATCTGGTAGAATGTTCCAAGAGTTCACAACTCTCACTCCGAAAAAGTTTGCCCTCACAGTTTTCTGGACTTGCGGCTTCTTCAGTCTTGAGCTGTGACCCCTTGTTAGGCGAGCGTCTGCCAGCTCCAAGTAAGAACACTCGACTGAGTAGTACCCCTTGAGATGCTTATACTACACCTCAATTAGGTCACCCCTTACCCGTCTGTAGTACAGGTTGTACCTCTCTAGTCCGGCATTCTGTGGTCCAGAAACTCCCGTGGTCCGGAACGATTTTAGTTTGTCCAATAGGTAGATATGCAGCTTTCTTTTCTTTTTTTTCTTTTTTTTTTAATCTGAATTATTATTATTACAGGAGTATTAAATTTTTGCCCCTCAGGCCCCAATGTGGGTCAGTGACTTATGCACAGGTGGGCTAATCTCCTTAAAAAAAACAAACAAAGCCACGGGAAATTAAGGTTTGTTTACATCTGGCTGCTCTCTCTCTCTGTCTGCTTGTCTATACAGAAGACAACATTTAACCCTTCAATATATATGAGCAGTAAATAAGTGTTGCTTTCATATTCTTATGTAGAGTAATGAGATATGTTTTCACATGTGCGCACTTACATACGCGCAGTCTCACTTTTTTTTTTACCATTAATGGTTAGCTACTTATATTGTTCCATTTATTAACATTAAATAACATTACAGGTACTTCAAACAACCATATTAATTTTTTTACATTCATTTTACTACAGCTAAACTCAGGGTCTTATTTTCTTCAGTTTTATATGTAGAACCAATCAGTCACTGGTTTTGTAAGCTGTAACATAAACAATGCCGGCAGCCGTCTCGTCTCCTCTAATATTCCACGTATTATTAACAAATTGAATTGTTAATTTTGCACACACAAACATTAATTCAATAAAAGCAAATTCAGAAACATTAATTAAAATATATATGAACAGTAAATAAGTGTTGCTTTCATATTCTTATGTAAAGTAATGACGATATGTTTTCACGTGTGCGCATGCGCACCTACATACGCGATCTCTCTTTTTTCTTTACCATTATCGTTAGCTACTTCTATTGTTCCATTTATTAACATTAAATAACATTACTTAAAACAACCATATTAATTTTACTACAGGTACAACCAAAGTCTTATTTTCTTCAGTTTTATATGTAGAACCAGTCAGTCACTGGTTTTGTAATCAACGAAAACAATGCTGTGTCATTTCCTCATGTGTTTTAATATTCTACATATTATTAATGAATTGTATTGCTCATTTTGCACACGTAACATTAATTCAATAAAAAAGACATTCAGTAATGAACAATAATGAATCTTTTGTACATAAGAGGAATGACGCTGTTTACACGATTATGCACGTCGTCTGCACGTTGGCGGGCCGTTCAAACCCGTCGAAATTCAAGTTTCCGCCGTCAAAATTTTTATTTATTTATTTTTTTGTGTGTTCTAATAAAATACGTTAAGAATTAAAAACTCGCGAAATTTGAGAAGCTACTATACGACATTTAACCCTTCAATATGTCTTCAAAGAGACCATGATGCAGAGAAAGTGGTGCTAGTGCTTCCAAGCATAAGCACAAGTCACTATCTATGCAGGAAAAGGGTGAATTTCCATGGTCCAGCACCAGTCAGATCCCGAGGTTGCCGGACTAGAGAGGTATAACCTGTATAAGCTAGGCAAGTTCAGGCGCTCCATTCTCTCATGGTAGTTGAGGACAATCAAAATTCGGTTTAGCTCAACTTGCTGTGAAAGTGGGAAAAGCTGGAGATGAGGTGGCCTGTGAGATATCATGTTTCCATTGTTACATGTAATCGAAACTATATTAGTTGTGAAAAAATCATTACAATACTCTAGTGTGGCTTAGAAATAAAGAAAATATCATATAAAATTATGTACGTAATAAGAAAAATGAAGAGCATGGGTTTGTATGTGTGGGCAGTGATGTCACAGCATACACACAGTGCAGCAGGCACGCACACATCTCTAAGTCAACTGAGTGAGTGCTCAGCTGGTTTGAGTGTGGAAGGAGCTGGGTTTTTTTTTACATAAAATATGTGCTTTTGTTTTATAATATGCTATTTATCAACTTTATTGTTTATCTTAAAAGATGTTGTAGTACAGTACATGTATGCAATTTGAATTTTTGTGTTAATAAATCCGTCGTTTAACTTTGAAACTATTCGTAATGAACTCATTTATTATTATTAGGGAGTTCAGTCCTCGCTGTTTACTGCCATGACATTTAAACCTGTTGCTTGTCCTCCATGCTTCGATGTTATCCTCATTTAGTAATAATTTTTTTTTAATGTTAGATTTTTCAGGAATGCAACCCCACCTACTTTGCTGTCTCTCAGAATCGAGTATGATGAGTAGTAGTAAGTGATGGCTGTGCATGAGTTGATTTATGTGGTGAGGCAAGAGCACAGACTGCAACCACACACCATGGCTCTCCCTTGTCCTGGTCCAGTGGTGCAGGTAGTTGCAACGAATGGGGAGGAGAGTTGCAATGGACTGCCAATAGCCCAGTTTGTTGGGTTTTGCCTTATTAGCCTGTCCATTTTGCATTGCCTTCATCTGCTGGTGTAGTCATTGGGTTCCCTTGTTGGTTATCTCTTCCACCTACACTGCCATTGGGGTCTTACTGGAGTTCTGTAAGCATGTCTCCGCTTCAGATTTTTCGCTTAGGGTTTACACCCGTAGTCTTATACCTACCAAGGTTAATCTGCAAGGCAGTGGTTAGTAGGCACCAGGACATGTCCACATGCCTGTGGGTCTATGTGCTGTCCCTCTGGGGCCCACTGCTGCTCCGAGATCCCCTGCTGGTCTAGCCTGGCCCCACGAGGCACCCAGTTATCATGTGTTGCCACGAGGAGGCACAGCAGGAGTTTTGATGGTGAAGAGGCTGTGTACTGGTAGGGGAAGACTTACAGAAGGTTGCTTCTTTGTTCGTCATCAGAGGTAGCCAGCGGCGGCAGCTGAAAGCGAGAGGTAGCAAACAGTGCTTGCACCTTAACACTAATATAATGCTGTCACACTAGATGCATTACACCACCCTGTGTGCACACACACACACACACTTTTAAATGAGGGATACTTGTACAGTATCAGACTACAGGTACAATTTACTGACATAAATTGTAGATACTTTTAAATACAGTAATACCCCGATTTACGCGGTCAATTGAACCCGCGGAGTAGCACGTAAAACGAGAAACGCGTAAAGTGAACAACATAACATATGGGATTAATTGAAATAGAGACCGGGCCGACTCCCAAACTACACTTTTTCAGACACAATACCTACGTTGTAGTAAAAATAACATCTTAATTTTATGATGGTATGCACACAATTAAGAGAAATATCAATAATATTAGGTTTTTAACACTTACATTAGTAGAAAAGATGGCTGGGCACACGGGGATGGGGGGTTGGTTCCGAGGCAGAGGGCAGATTATTGGCCCTCACCTGTATCACTTGTATCAATTATATCACTATCCACCACAGAGGCTTGCAGGGCCTCTTTGTCAAACCCCTCAAAGTCCATATCCTCACTATCACTGACTTGGGCCGGCTGTGGTGGGTGGCGGGTGAAGAACTCGGTAATGTTTTGATGACTGGGCGACCTTGTGCGCACCCTGCCCGCGCCGCATTCCGGTTCTGGCGGGGTACCACGTAAATGTGGAAACGCGTAAACGAGAACTGCGTAAACCAGGGTATTACTGTACAGTGGTCCCTCGGTTAACGAGCACAATCCGTTCTAGAAGGTTGCTCGTTAACCGAAACCATTGTTTCAATGGGTTTTTGGGTAATTGGTTCCAGCTCACCGAAAATTACCTAAATTCAACAAAAAAGGTAGAAAAGTACACTTACTTTGAGGTGTGTATGTAGAAGGCTCGTGGATGATGATGATGATGATGATGAATGATGGAGGAGAAGGGAGAAGAGAAGGAATTGGGGTGGAAGAGAAGTCACCCCATGGCGCCATTTCACCCATAAAATTTTAGTTCTCTTGGTGTAATTCAAGATTATTTTCTTTAAATCAACACTGCACTGCATCATATATTGTCAATATGTAAAATAAATTTCAAAATGACCAACAATTTGCCTGTAAACACAGAAAAAAAGCATTTAGTTGAAGAGTCTCTCAAGCAAGATGTTACCTCCACTGAAAAGACACAGACTGACGCCTGTGCTGTGTTGGCAGGCTGGATGGCGTGCCACAAACTAGTGACCCTACCTTCAATTATGTTCAATAATTGTTTAAATAACTAAAAAAAATTAATATTAAACTTTTAAAATTATTGAATAGTATAAACTTCTTGATATTTACTAAAAGGGTAAGGAATTTGAGCCCTAGAACCGATTACTGTATTGGCGGACTAATACTACAGCTGGTGGACCGCCAAATGCAAGCTAAAACATGTGGAGGTCGGCTCGTAAGATACTCGTTAATCGAGGGATTGCTCGTTAACCGAAGTTAAGAATCTTATGGAAGGTAACTCGTTAACCGAAATCTCGTTAACCGAGGCGCTCGTTTGTATACTTTTCAAGCTAGGCTTGACAAAGTATATGTGAAGCTCATAAAAGTGTTAGAATAATGTTTCATATGCTTGTTGGCATATATGTGAAGCTCATAAAAGTGTTAGAATAATGTTTCATATAGTTGGCATTATATGGGATTCAGGTCTACTAAGCATAAATTTGGAGTAGACTGATATAATAATATGATAAAGAACTCACTCAAGAGGCCTATGCTGTGCTTGGTTGTCTTACTACCTTATTATGCATTCCTTCAGGCTAAAGTTCTTCCAGCGGTGGGCGGACGAGAAAATCCCCGACGTATTCTGGTTTTCTGGGCTGTTCTTCCCCTACTCCTTCCTCACGGGCATACGTCAGAACTATGCCAGGAAACATGCCATACCCATCGACAGGATTGACTTCCTGTTTAAGGTTACTACTTTTATATCTAGTACCATATTATGTTTATAATGTAATTATTTGTATGGTAATATTACAAACAAACAAGTGCCTAGTTTGTAAGGTTCAAAGACTGGACAAGCACCACAATGAACATCTTGACACTTATTCTTCTTTATTAATTAACTTTCAATTATCACAGTAGCCATCATCAGTGCAATCTATAGAAAAGAATCAACAATGATAAGATAAAACAAGACACATGACTGTTATAATATTAAAAAAATGAAACTATTAAATCAAAAGACAAATTCAAATCATGACTGGAGACTAGTTGAAAAGTGTAGTGAAGTTAAATGCAGTTATAATAACAACAATTTTAAAAATACACAATGAAACTAAAACAAATATATTATGCTAAATTGGAAAAATCGCTTACTTATTTACCTAATGACCACCCACAAGAAGTAGCTATGACAAGGGAAGGAGGCCAGTGGCCTGTGTAGGATCCCTCCAGTGTTCATGTTAATTTTGTAGAGGGTTATTTGAAGCCCAGTACTGTTCATGATTCTACAGCTTGGGCTGGTAGACCATTCCAGGTCTCACCATCTGTGTGAAGAAGTATTTCCTGATATTTGTTCTGCAAGATAGTTTGACGAGTTTGTAATTATCTCCTTTCAGGATATTGTATATTTTAATGAAATCTTCCATATTGTGCCTTGTCTGAAAGATCTACTGAACTTGGATAATCGAGATGATATACAGTAGTTCTGGAATCATCTTGATTGCTTGTGCTGGACCTTTTCTAGGGATGTTATATCTTTCTGGAGGTAGGGTTTCCATGCTTGTACGCAGTAATCCAGACTGGGACATACTTGAGAGTTGTATAGTTCAAGGAGAATTTTTCTATCATTACCTGTATATTCAAAGGTACATTTATAATTCCCAAATCTCAATTTGCTTTTCTCACTACTGGAGTTACTTGTTGTGCCACCTTCATTGAATGACTTATCACAACACCAAGATCTTTCTCCTTATTGACAGAATCCAGGAAAGTGTGAAGGGACTTGCATTTTGTAATGTTAAAGACCATTTGCCAGTCTCAAGTCCATTTGAACAGCTCATGTGGGTAATTTTTGCCTTGTTGTGACATGTTCTTGACTTCTTTGACACCAATTGTCATTGGGTAAAGACAAAGGTGGCCAATCTAACTATCCAAAAAGGTGGAGGTAAAAATAAACTCACATTTGTTTTAGTGCAATATTACTCAGTGCCTACCAAGGGCAGACACATGATGACAATACTGCTCCTGCATGCCTACTACAGCTGTCACATGATGACAATACTGCCCCTGTATGCCTACTACAGCAAACACATATTGACAATACTGTACTGCCCCTGTATGCCTACCACAGCAGATGATATAGCTACCATAGCAATATATGTTCATTCAAGCCTTTTCTCAATGTAATGCCTGAAACCAGAATCAAGATCAGACACACACACAGGTTCTCTCAGAAATTGGATGTCATTCATGAATTCTTATTACAGTATCAGATGTGTTCTATTATGGTACTTCCCTTCAACCATCAAGTCCCAAATTTCTATCTGGTTTACCCGTCACTAAAAATCTAGCATCACCCACCAGCAGCAGCAGCAGCATATGCTTCCCCAAATATCACTCACTGGCATGCTCTCTAGTCATTTATGTACATTGCTGCTTCAGTAAAGTACAGTACTGTAAATTATATAAAATTTAATCTCATTTATCATAGGTTGTGTAATAATTTTGTACTGACAGCATACTCACTGTATACTCCATATGCATTTACACCAACAGGTAATGGAAAAGGAGGTGGAAGATATCATCCAGGAATGTATCAGACCCAACTTCGTGGAGTTGCCAGTGGTGATCGAGCGGCTGCCCACGCCAAATGTGCAGGGGCAGTACTACCCCCTCGACACTGACCTCGAAGACAACGAATCGCTTCCTTACGATAACGACTCCCCCCAGCTCAAGAAGGAGGGTGACCAGGTAACAAAATGCAGAAACAGATATCAAATGCCAGGCTAATAACTTTAGTACAGGGATTGAAGGAAGGAAGGAAGGGAAAGTAAGTAATAAATCAGAGAGAGAGAGAGAGAGAGAGATATAAACCAGATTAAGTGGAAGGGAGTATTCAGGAAAGGATGAAGAGTAGAGTCAGGTAAACTAAAAGGCTGTCTTGGTAAGAATTGGACTATGAGGATGGTGAAGACAGAATGGGAAATGAAAGATTAGTTATCAAAAGAGAACCACATAACAGAGAGGGAAGAGCTTGATAAATAATGAAGGAAGAGAGACCAGGTACAAGCAGAAATAGATAAGGAAGGATGACAAGATAACAAGTGGTAGAAGGATGAAGAAGGAACTGAATAAGGAGGGAAAAGGTAGCAAGATCATGAAAGGAGAAGGATAAATCTTACCAAGATGACAGGTATGCTAATAGACAAAGGAAAATGGCATATGTGTGCCCTATATTCAAACAGGGTGATTAACACGGCTCAAACAATTAAGGTGCAGCCTTCTGGAGTCATCCTACTTCCAGAAAAAATAAATAGAAGTTGGAAGTTACACAAGCCCCATCTGTACAAGCAGCCTAAATAATTGTGGCTATCTTGTCATCAGATTTACTACCTCACTTACTGTTACATACTACAGGTACTCCTCTACTTACGAACGCGTTACGTTCCTGAGGCTTGCTTGTAAGTCCATCTTTGCTCTTGTAGATACCAAATATATTGTAAAAAATGAAAATATTATGGATATATAGTACAGCTATACCCTTTAATACAGCTTTAAAACCTGGCTCACTCTTCTCCTCTTAGGTAATGTTTGTTCTATCTGGAATTTTCTTCAAAATAGTCCAGTCTCATCCACATTAAACACCTGTTCTGGCAGGTAACCCCCCTCAGTGATGGTGTTTGTATCTCTGAAAGTTTGTAAGTTGAATGTTCTTAAGTAGAGGAGCACCTGTACAGTAATATCATTGTAATGCATTATTTTAAGAAAAATGGTACCAACCAATCATGTGTTATGGCTTTAGTTTTGTTGGAACCTAAACCCTTTTCTGGTTACTAACTGTACTGTAATCAATCCAAAACACTCAATGGTATGAACATAACACTGAAGCACTTACAAATTATCCAAGTGGCTGGTAAAGATGCTATCCCCTCTTACAGGCCAAATATCTAATTCACATATACGCAATAGCAGTGATTTAATTGATAAACTCAAGAAACACAACGAACCTTGCGAATTAATAAGTTTTGATGTAAATTCACTGTTCACTAGAGTACCTGTGAAAGACTTAATTTCATTTCTTAAAGATAAATTACAACTGCTAGATTTAACTATTGAACATGATACTTTCCTGAAATTGATAGTTATGCGTAACTGACAATGTGTTTAGAGCAAATGGGAAGTTCTACAAGCAAATATTTGGTATGAGCATGGGTAATTGTCTTTCTGCTCCTCTAGCCTGTATTTATATGGAGTTTTTTGAGTCTAGATTACTACCCAATATAGTGGACTTTATTCCTCCATGGTATAGATATGTAGATGATGTTCTTTGTCTTTGGCCTAAAAACAGTGACCCATTGAAATTTTTAGACAAGCTTAATAATATTGTCCCTAGTATCACATTCAAAATTGAAAGAGAAATAAATGAATCCCTTCCATTTCTTGATATGCTTATCATGAGAAATGGCCAAAACTATAAATTTAAGGTATATAGAAAGCCCACACAGGTAGACAGTTTCATTCACTTTTTATCGAATCACCTTGAGTCTACCAAAATGTCAGTTTTTTCTGCTATGTTCTTAAGATGTCTGCGTATTTGTGACTCTGAATTTATTGACGATGAATTGAAACACATTCGCTCTATTGCACAGAAACTTGGGTACCCTTCCGTGTTTGTTGATCGTTGTTTTAAAAGGGCTAAAAAATCCTTTCATTCCTCTCAAACCAGACAAGTTCCTACACTTAAGAATATTTTGACTCCGCCCTATCGTAATGAATTTGTCCCGTTAGTTCGGTCCCTCAAGCTTCTAAATATTGATGTTGTTTTCAAGTATGACTCAACCATTACCAATATGTTAATAAGGAATAGCCCAAGTTTGAATTTAAATGGAAGTGTTTATTGTATTCCATGTAGCAAATGTAATTGTAATTATGTAGGTCAGACAGGAAAAACACTGCAGCTCAGAATCAAACAACATAAGTATAATATCAGAACTGCATCTGAAAGCAGTGCCTTGTTCGTTCATGTTAGGAATAATAATCACCCCATTGCTTGGGAAAAAAAGCTTAGAAGTATTCAAATCATCTTGTGTCACAGAAAGACTTCTGGTTGAAGCTAGTTTGATTAAGGAATTAAAATCAATAAACCTTAGTGATGGTCAGTTCAAAACTGATAATATGTTACATAAATTTATTTGTCAGTGGCCCAAGGTTAAAAATGCTTTGAAAACCTTTGATCTAGATGTATGATAGTTATTTTGTGGGTCCCTTTTTTCTGACCTGACTTGGCTAGTCACGTCACCACCCTTCTCTTAAGCTCCTCTACGTGTGTGTTGGTGTGGGGATTAGTGGATGTCATCATTTTGACCTGACCATGTTTTTAGGTCACCCTGTATATTTAAGCCTCTCTCTGTCCATGTAATCCAGTTGCCTCTGAAGATGTCTTGAATAAAGACGAAAGCTAAGGTACTCCGTTGTTTCCATTTTCCAGTGTGATTTTATCAATATATATATATATATATATATATATATATATATATATATATATATATATATATATATATATATATATATATATATATATATATATATATATATATATATATATACAGTGAACCCTCACTTTACGCGGTTAATTCAACCCACAGGGTACCGCGGAAAGTGAGAAACCCGTAAAGTGAACAACATAACATATGGGATT